TAGGACTATGATCTTCTTTTCTTAGATCAGGTGGGATCTCGGACCTGTCTGATTCTGATCATTACTGCAGCCATACTTCTTAGTTTTAGTCACAATTTTATATATCTCACTGGGTATAAGAATTAATTTGCCTCTTGCATTGATTTGTTTAATGCCAAGGGCCAGTTTATTCTGAATGCTCAGCTTGGCTAACTTCTTTTGAGCTGCTCCTTTGTCCCATGACTTTTCTTTGGTTGTCAGTTTATGTGTTCTTCATGGCCCACCTCAGTTTAGGGGAACAATTGCTGTTCATCTGTCCCTATATAGTGGATGGATGTTTAGCCTTCCATTCATTGGACAATAATATTTGCTGTTCCAAAACAAGTCTTGAGCTTGCATGGATCCCTTAGGATTATAGGTATATAACTGGGATATCTGTTGAGTGTAGGGATATCATGGTGTCTTGGATCTGGTGTTGTGGGGTCTTGCCACACTATGTCATGTCCAATCGCTACACCTAATAGCAGGGAGAATAGAGTTCTGATGGTCAGTCCTAATGGCAGGGTCTTCTATGCCACATCCTCCCTGGAGGAATGTCACCCTCTGTCAGGTCTGGATACAGTTTTCATGCACAGTCACCTTAAGCAGAAGCACCTCCAGGGATCTGGATCGGAACTAGGTTGCCATTTGCCTCCTTTCATCCCTGAATAACCATCTGGTTATTCTCTTGGCTGTTGGTCAAAAGAACTAATTATACCTTCCCACTTCTTAGAAAATTTATCTTTAGAATAATTATTTTTTGATGTTACTATTTTCTTTCCTTTTTGTTATGAAGTATGCCGTAAATGCCAAAGAATATATATAGTGAATACATATGGTTTCAGGATCAATCATAAAACAAATGGCCATGTACCTACCACCTAACTTAAGATATAACTTCTCTTCTAAGCAGAACTATTATGTGATTCTGAGCCGATTCTCCTTCTCCCTTTCCTAAGGTCGTGAGTCTGAGGAGGGTAGTAGCTACCACTTGGTTACTCCACAGCAGTTTCTAACACTTTGTTCTGAAGAAAGAGAGAAAAGTGTCCAGAGGGTACCCTGAGTTGTTTGCAAAATAGAAGCCCAGATGATTGTGCTTAGTGGTTGGTGTGTCTGTGTTGGTCACCATTGGTTTCTCCAGGAAGGTATTCCCTGGCGCATTGCTAACCCACAGGGCACCTTTGTGTGAAAAAGAAAAAAATCATTTTTGCCATTTGCCAGCAATTCTCTGTAATACCTATATGCACAAAAATCGATAATGATTATGAATGTGAGTAGAGTTTGCAGGCCACAAGCATAAGGCATGGTAAATGTAGCAGGTGGCTACAGGGCTCCTCAGGTGGGTGTCATCAGACATTTACTGAACGCCTACTATGTGCCAGGCATTCTTTTAGTTGTTTGGCATTCAGTGCTGAGATAGACAAGATTGTTGCTCTCATGGACCCCCCATGCCTGGACTTATGAGCAAGCTGGTTTTTTGGGTGCACGAGCTTGAGAGTCACCTAACAAGCTGGGGTCATTCTTGAGTTGGGTTAGGGCCCTGTGGTTACTAGCAAAAGTGGGCATGTTGTCTATGCCATGTTAACCCCGGGAGGTTATGTTGTACCAAGGTGATGAGTCAGAGTGACCATATGCTCTGCTTTACCCTGGGTACTGGGTGAAGTCTCCTGTCCCAAGCGGTCATTAACATCACTCCTTCACTCTCTCTCAGTTTTTTTTTAAAGATTTGTTTAGAGAGAGGGCACACACAGTCTGGAGGAATGGGGGTGGGCAGAGACAGAGGGAAAATGAGCCCAATGCAGGGCTCGATGCCACGTCCCTGAGATCATGACCTGAGCCCAAACCAAGAGTTGGACGCTTAACTGACTGAGTCACCCAGGTGCCCCACCCCTTCTCTCCCTTAAATGTTTTCCAGCTTTGGGCAGTGAATTATATGGTCATGTGTATTAGTCATATTTTTCTGCCATGGTAACAAACACCTTCAAAATGTTAGTGACTTAAAACTTCAACTTTTTAGATCTTGCTCATGGATCTGTGGATCAGTTGCCCCTCTGCCCCAGTCTGGGAATCCGTTTAAGTTTGGTCCTTATTCTGGACGTTGGGCCTGTGCCACAAGCCTTCCCATTACAGCACCTAAGTTGGAAGACTGAGCTTTGAGATTTCTTTTCATGGCAGAGGGTGGGATCCAAGAGTCCCTCTGGCCAGAGGCGGCATGGACCATATCTACTCTTATTTTATTGACTAGAGCAAGTCATAGGGACGTACACCATCTAGGGATTTGGGATTGATTCTCCTTCCTCGGCATAGGGGGCGCTGTGGTGGGGGAGAGCCAGTATTTGGTGAATAACAATGTGATGAGCACATTGCACTTCTAAACCCTACTGCTCTCCAGCGTGCCCCAACTCCAGCCTTTGCCGGTATCTTGTAGCGTGTCTGTGTCAGGACAGCGCCCAAGTGATTGACAGGACACAAATGAGGAGTTTGGCCTCCCTTTGGGTTACAGAATGTTTTAAGGGATTTCAGTATGGTGTGGAGCCTGTTTTGGTTTTAGATTTTATTGGACAAGGTGGGAGTTGATGTTTGCTGTGGCAGCCTGATTAACTGGGACAGGCTCTCCTCCTTTCTGTGTCCCCAGTTCTACCACCTGTCCTAGAAGTCTGCCCTGAGAAATTTGCCACTCTCCTGTATGAGCCACCAGGACCCAGTGGAGCCTATGGCCAGACCATGCCCTCTCCCTACCTCATGTTGGGGCTCCATGAGGTATGATTTCTGGGGCCCTTTACTTTGCTCCCACTGAGGCTCCTCCCTGTCCTATCCCTGCCCTTGCTGCTCTGTACCTGGGAGTTTTAATTTTTATTGTCTCCTTAGTGTCCCTTCATTTGCTCATGTTCAGTGTTCAGTACTAACTGGCTTTTCCTTTAAAACAATCCCAGGGGCGCCTGGGTGGCTCAGAGGGTTAATCCTCTGCCTTCGGCTCAGGTCATGATCTCAGGGTCTTGGGATCGAGCCCCGCATCAGGCTCTCTGCTCAGCAGGGAGCCTGCTTCCTTCTCTCTCTCTGCCTGCCTCTCTGCCTGCTTGTGATCTCTGTCAAATAAATAAATAAAATCTTAAAAATAAATAAATAAATAAATAAATAAGACAATTCCAGAAATTCCTCAGTGTTACTGGCTCACGGATGGATTGATGGAACCCATCCTTGTTTTCTATTGTTGGATAGTTTGCTAACCCCCTTGCGGTGGGACCTGAGGAGAGAGAGGTAGCAGATTTGAGCTTACTTAGCCAGGTGAAACTCCAGTGTTGTCGAGCAGAGATGGAATACTACTTTGCCAAAAGGACAAAGACTGATGGGGAGGCATGGGGGAGATACATTAGCTCTATCACCAGCCCTGGCAGCTGGCATTCTCTTGAGAGCAATTTTTCATGAAGAAACTGCTTTATCATTTCATAAGAATGATGAAGTACCTTCAGAGTCGTGTCAAAAAGCACATGGATGGTGGGTGGTCAGCTTGGCTCCGTAGTAAGTGACTTGCAGTCGGGACTCCCATGCATGCCCCAGCAGGAATACCAGTTGTCTCGCGTCACGGATTGTTGGCATGCTGTGGATAACTGATACTGTGAAAATTAACTTATTCTTAATTCTCCCCTTCGCAAGAATATGGGTCTGTGAAGAAGGCATGGAATGTGGCTGTCATGTTCCCCCCTGTAGTATCTCCAAAACCTAGTGCAGTGCCCAGCACATAGCTGGGAAACTTGGGCTGAAGCAATGCAAATGCTGATGGTGGACAGTAAAGGCCAAACCTGGGAGAACCCTCGGAGCTCCTGAGTATAACAGCACTGTAAGGGCAGGTGGGAGTGTCCTTGAATGAAAGGGCTTTCCAACCACCCTGGTGCCAGCAGCGGGTTCCCGTTGATGCCTCAGCCTTCCTGGCCTGGCTGTTGCATGGGGCGGAAGCCTGGAGGAGGCCGGACTTTGTTCTGAGACTTAGGGGCACAGGCATTGCACTGCCACAGGCCCTAGCTGAGGCCGCACGGTCCAGCTAACAAGTGCCCGGGTTGCCTTGCTGCAGCCACTCACCCGCACCATTTCGGCGCCTGCCTGCTGACCTCCACAGGCCTGCCACGGCGTTTATTTGAATGTGGGATTTTTTTTTGGCTGCTGAAGCTTATTACTTTGCTGCTTGTGCTGCCAGTGGGAAATGCCCCTTGAGAGCTGTCCTCCAGTTTGTGACTGAAGGGAGTTGACATTACGAAGAGCCCAGGTCATTGCCCCTTGTGTGGGGTGACCGAGGTGTGACACTCGCCCGAGAGGTGTCACCTCCATCGGTGGTAACTGGCTTGCAGAAGCCCCCTTTGCTGGCTGCCTTCCCTGGACTGCTTCCCTACTCCCCTACCTGTGTTTTCTTCACCTTCTAAATAAACCACCTGCCCTTGAATACTTGTCTCAGGGTCTGCTACCGAGAAACCCAAACCCTCATGGTCAGGGGCCTGGGCCCCTGGCCCCTGGCTGGGACGGTGTTCTTGAGGTTTCAGAGGGCTTGAGCTTCATTTTGCTTAGACACTTCAAAATCAAGATCAGAAAGAGGAAAAAAGCACTCTAGTTTCTCTGTTTTAGAAAGTTGTTACTTAAACAGTTCCCAAATTCAATTCTACGGCTCTCCGAAATGACCGCTGAAACTGCCCTGCTCACAAAACCTCAGGGATTTGTATTGCCATGGTGTAGGCTCTCAGTTGACTTGGGGGGCATTCCTGGTCTCCCTGCATATACCCTGGATATAGTCAGACTGTTCATTGTTGAGATATTGCCTGCATGTTACCTGCTCTGTGCTGTGTCTGCATCTCAGTATCCCTGCGCCAGAGTCAGGTGACCCTGCGGCCGGCTCATGAGGGGTAAAGGGATGAACGGGTCTTTCTACCCACACCGTGCAATGGATTGCACAGGAAGAACTATCACACTGACCTTTGACCTTTGCTTCTTTGCAGATATCTCGGTGAGCCTGCTGACCCTCGTGGTCACTGCCTGTGGCCTCGCGCTTTTTGGCGTGTCTCTCTTTGTGTCTTGGAAACTCTGCTGGGTTCCGTGGCGAGAACGAGGCCTGCTCTCTGGTAGCAAAGAAAACAATCGGGAACCTCTTAACTACACGGACACAGAAACCAATGAGCAGGAAAACAGTGAGGGCTTCCTAGACCCTCCTACCCCCTGCCTGGACGCCTCCATGAAGATCAGCCACACCTCCCCTGACATTCCCCTCTCGACCCAGACCGGGGGCCAGGAGAACTGTGCCCATGGCGTCCGTGTGCAGCGCCAAGTCACAGAGCCAACCTCGTCGGCCCGGTCAGTAATACCCCTTTCCTTTCTGAATGCAAGGCAGGGACCACCTCGCTTTCCTCTCTTGCCAGCAGTAGCACTGATAAGCCCCAGAGCCTGCAACCTTTCCCACGTCCTTTCAGTGTCAGAGACATAAATATGGGAAATCAGGGTGCTTCTTCTGCTCCAGTGAGGTTCCTTACCTCTCCTGAGCTCTCTAAGTAGTCTCCGCTTAGTCCATAATAACAATAGTTACATTGCCAAGACTTGTCAAGTCTAAGAACTTCATGTGCATTATTTTATGATAGTCCACAACTTTGCATGAGATGCAGAAGTTAACATTTTCATTTCACAGAAGAAGAAACTTAAGTCAAAGAGGTTAAGTAAAAAAGTCATGTTGGCACGCACTCGGGGTTTGAACCCTGATGCAACCAACACCAGAGCCTGAGCTCTTAACACACTCTTCCTGCTGCCCTCCTAGTGCTATTGAGTTTGTGCTCTGTGCTTCTGACCTAGCCTAGCTGTCTCATACAGGCTGTCTTTGTGGTCTGCAGAGTGGCTGGAGGTCTTTGTCCATCTTCAGCCTTTGCAAGGCCTAGAGTTTCCAGGCCGAGGGTCACTCTCTGTCAGTGGGCCAGATGCCCTGTGCTTTAAGCAAAGGAGAAATCATGTAAGGCAGTGATAAAAAACAAGGGCTCTGGGGTCAGTGAACTGGCTTTACTTACATGTGTGATACTGGATATAGTACTTAACCTCCATGTTTCCATTGCCTCTTCTGTGAGAGAGGGATAGTGAGAATAGCAGCATTTGGGTAGTTTTAAGAATGAAGCAGGAACATGCACGTCATACGCTTCACATGGGCTGCACCTGGTACAGCTCCGAAGCCTGAGCTGCCATTTTGATTCCAGTATTTGATTTTGTCCTGATCATTCTCACTGTGACTGGCTCTCCCAGGACTCAGATGTGGCACAGACATGGTTTTGAGGTTAAACAGCCAATTCTGAATCACTGGATATAATGATCTACTTTTAACAGGAGATTTCAGGAAGAGAGATACAGGAAGCAGCTTTTTCTAAATGAAAATCTTGAGCGATAGCCAGAGGCAGAGCACATGCCATCGTTCAGAAAGTATGAGTGTGGTTTGGGGGCCTCTCGAAAAAAATCTTTTTTATTTGTTCCTGAGAAACAGAAGTAAGATTTTACCCTCTTTTATGTTAATCGAGTTTATCCTAGAGACTCTGCACATTCACATTAAGTGGGATGGAATCTGACAGTTTATAATTTAATTTTTCCACAAACCTATTTTAGCATCATTTCCAAATCTGAATCAAAGAGCTAAACCTAAAATATTCCTCTGTGAGGAAATGGATGGTTGTTTGCCATTTGATTTAGAAGAACTTCTCAGACTTTATCACTAGGATTTCTCTTTAGATGTAGACTTAAATATAGCTGGAGCTATGTTTGATGCTGTCATGGCGTTCACACAGGGGTGCAAACTCGGAATAAAATTCCTTCAGTATTTCAATAACCAGAGTCTTTCAGGTGGGGCATCCATGAAAAGTGTCTCCTATTCAGTTTTCTTCTGCATGTTAATTTTTCTGATCTGTGTCCCATCACAGCAAGGTGATAGTACTGTGCTCTTGTTAGATTATGGATCTGAGGTCTCTGCCATAATTCTAATGACTTGATAGCAGTCATATCACTCTTATTATCACAATATTTATTTTAGAAAATATGTATAAGTACTCTATAAATCAAGAAATAGATTTCATTTAAAAATAAAAACTGCTATCTTCACCACTGATTTATGGAAATTAGGTAGAAGGAGAAAAAGATAAAAAGAGGAAAGCAAAGGAATGATCCCTATAAAATGAACTTTACATTTAGATTTTGGAGTCTTGTAATTATCTTTTCTGATGACCAAATCAAGTTTAGTAATATCCGACCATAAAGAAACTAAATTCTTTATAGCTGCATTTGACCTAATACTGATAATTGGCATCATTATGCATTTAAAACATTCTTACCTAAATTGCTACTGACCCAGTGTTACGGGTTATGTCTGAAAATATAGATCTATGATTCATGGTCTCACCATAATGAGTGGTGTATGGTCTTCTAATTTTTATGGATTGTGTTATGTTATAATCAAACACAAAATCTTTTTTACTGATGAAAGGAGAGAAATGAATGAAATTTCCTTCATGTTCCAAAACATTTTTACATTCTTTTTTTAGTAACATTTTTGATACTGATTTTGGCAGGGGGAGGGTTCTCTGTGCTGAGATGGCTCTCAGCAGTCTGCCCTGCTAGTTCTTATTTCTTCCTTTTTTACCCCCTCCTGATGCTCCTTACTTCCTCAGTGCTGTCTCTTTCTTTCTTCCTGCTTCCCTCCTGCAGCCATTGTGACTTGTCCCAAGGGGCCCAGGACACCTCCTTGACCCACAGCACCCAAGGCTTAGACTCTCCATTAAGGATGTCCCTGCTGTCGCTGTGACCCATCAGCATAGCTTCTGTCACAGCACTGACATTAGGAAACTTACCCTCTCCTGGCCTCTTGAGCTTGAATATGCATGCTTCCCACCAATGTCTATGGAAGGCCCTAAAGATGGGCGTTGTTTTTATCTCCTCGGAAGGCTTCTGGTCAGGATGACTTTCTATTGTTTTCTCAAGATCAGGCATGTTAACATTCTCTTTCTAGTTGGCTCAGTTATTATTAGAACCCTTCAAAGTTCCTGTTCATTCTTTTCAATTTAGATGAAATCTGTTCTGTGTAATATCCTGGGAATACGGATATTTTTTCCCAGAATACTTCAATACCAGAACCTTTTAAAGATCTCTATTCCAAATCTTAAAAAATCCCTGGGTCCTCAAAATGGAAGGGACTTTGACAGGCCATCTAAGGCATTTCTTGATTCATATCCCAAGATGGGACCTAGGTAACACTTCGGTTTTACAAAAATTTCAGTTACCACACTGCCATCTTTTTATCAGGCTTGTTAGGGCCTGCACATTATTGCCACAGTCTCCTCCTGTCAGCTGTCTGCCTCAGTGCCACACAGCACTACCCTGGAGGACACAGTCTCACTAGGAAGCTTTATCTGGGAAAGCTCATTGCGTTCCAGCTGCACTAGCCTCTCTCTCAATGCCTTCAGTACCCCTGTCTTTTCACACCTTGAGGCCTTCACACATGAAGTTCCCTCTGCCTGGAATACTTTTCCTTTTCCTCTCCAGCTCTTTTGCAGCTTTCATATCCCACCTAAAGCATCACCTCCTCAGAAAGACCTCCCCGACCACCCTGTCTGAAGGATGTGCTCTTTCCTCTACCCCTTCCCACTCTTCATTCTCTCACAAGCTGCCTTGCTTGCATTTCTTCGCAGGATTGAACTCTTTTTTTTTTTTTCTTTTAAGATTTTATTGATTTGACAGAGAGAGAGACAGCAAGGGAGGGAACACAAGCAGGGACAGAGGGAGAGAGAGAGCAGGCTTCCCACTGATCAGGAAGCCCAACTTGGGGCTCAATCCCAGGACCCTGGGATCACAACCTGAGCCGAAGGCAGATGCTTAACAACTGAACCATCCAGGTGCTCCTGGATTGAACTTTTCTAACTCAATGATTATTTGTTTGCTTGTTGCCTGTATCCCCTCTCTCATCTGTGAGTTCTGTGAGCTTGGAAACTGCGTCTCCTTTGTTTCTCCCTATATATGTAACACCTAGTGCAGCCCCTGGCATAGAGCAGACTTTTTGTATCAATGACTGACAGAATACCTTCATCAGTATCCAGCCACTAGTTTCGTGTTCTGCTGATGAGAATGGCATAAGGCCAGAAGTGTAAACTGAGGAAGGGCCTATATGGAATGAGGTTGGTGGAAAGCCTCTTGTTCCAGGTCTTACCTTCATTCAGAGCCTTACACATAGACTTTTGGCCTTATCTCTGAACTAAGCAATCCCTAGAGTCTCAGAAATATTCTGACAGAGTTGAAAGACAACGACAATCATTGCATTTTAGATTTGGGTCCCATTGCTGGCCACAACTTCAGTAAGTGGTATGCTAGTAATTACTAATAATTAAGTAATGTAATTACTCTAGAAGTAGCACAGTTCTATTAAGCTATGTTTGTGTCTGTGTGTGTACGGTGTGTTGAAAACATTGGTTAGATGAAAACATTTAAACACAACATTTTTTTGAATTACCTCTTCAGGCTTTAATAAACTGATGGCTTCAAAAATGGAAGCTGCTTAGCTCTCTCTCAGCTCCTATGAGATTCTGAAACTTGATGTACATGTGCATTTTCTCTACTGGGATTTAATTATTGGAAACTGTTATGTCCTTGGCACTTATGTATTTACTCTAGACAGTTGTATTAAGCATCTGCTACGTGCAAAGTCTTCTATCGTGTACTGGTAATAAAGAGATAAAAAAAAAAAATACAGCCCTGACCTCAAAGGTCCACAGCCTAGTTGGGGAAATAGATAAGAACATGAAGTGCTCAAATTGTTCTCATAGATTTATCGGGCAAGAGCATCTAAGATGCATGGGACGGGATAAAGGCTGGCTGTAGGGGCTGATTCAGGCCTGTAATGTTGAGGCCTGAACTCACTAGAGACAATGGGAGTGGAAACAGGCATGAGTTGTGAGCTACTTTTGAGAAGGTATTGGTGGACACAGGCTCTTAGAAATAGGGAATAAAATATTAGAAGTGACACCAAGAGTTCAAACTTGTTGAACTTGGGTAGGAGGTGTAGGAGGAAGCAGGTCATGCCTCAGAGTTTCCAACTACGCTTGACCACACACCTCCACTGGCCAAGGTGTGATGCTTAAATCTTTCTTATATCATTCATTCCAGAAACTTCTGAATCCTGTGCTAAGAAAGAACCCATTTCCTTCTGCCCTGTAGTCAGTTCACTGCATTTGCCCTGTCTGAGACTTCCTTTTCCGTCTCTGCCTTTGGCTCAGGACAACCCAACTCTCTCCTCTCTATCACCTGGGGGGGTTCCAAGAAGGGAAACAATCCTATCTCCATTGTTTCCAAACTTCCCTGTCTTGACTTGAACCTCATGAAGAAAGCCATGCAGTTCTGAAATCACAGTTTTCTTCTCTCTTTCCTCTCCTTGAACCCTGAAGCTCTGTCGTCACTGGTGCCCCAGAACCCGGGAAGGGATAGGCCAGGTTTCACCTCTGAGATGGGGTCACTGAGGTGATGGTGGATAGAAGAGCCCACACTTGCCTGTAGCTGCATGGGAGACCCAGAGGTGGAAGGGATGGTGGGAATGATGAACGTTGGCTCTCACACACAGCCTGGATGGAAGATGTAGGCATATGTGAGGAGAAAGCTGTGGGGGCAGAAGAGTTGAAGATCCTAACCTGCTGGAGAGCTGGGAGCTAATGTGGAAACTTTACTTAATTTCCTATGAGGTCTATAGCATCAGTTCAGAGGCTGATAATATGAGGCCAAGTTAAGTAGCCAGGCTTGGTGAGAATACCATTTCCTTCATGACTGTTACCCCAGCCAGGGGCCTCTGTCTCTGTTTGTGTGGCTCGTTAATATTTGGTCAGTTCTTATCCTCTTCTGACCTGCTATGTAGTTGGTGTTTGACTGTTTTATCACGCCCCTGGCTAACCAACTCCTTGCAGGCAGTAGGCTTTGCCCCTCTGGGCCTTCCATCCTACCTGATGTGCTTTGCACATTCCTATTTGGTGAATTGTGATATTGTCCTCTTTCTTAAAATCCAGTGGAGGTAGTGGGCTTTGGGGTCATGGTTCAGGGACCAAGACTTTGTTTGGAGACTCGAAGTGTGACCCTGGAACTGGTTAATTCAAATTTGAGGAAAGGAGAGGAGGAAAAGCTTTTTGCATCTGGGCTCCTGCCTCTGCTGACCTGAGGCTGCAACCAGCAAGGCTCAGATTCCTTGAGGCATTAAAGTGTTTTTGAGTTTGTTGTGGGAAATCTGCTTTACAGATTTTCTTAATCATCTTTGAAGTTAGGCTTTCTCCAGGCTCAGCCACCGGTCTTCCAACTCAGATCTGGGACAGCCACATCCAAACGTTCAGCTCTCTTCCACAACCTGAAAATGTCCTCCACCTGCACTAGGCGGGGATGGGAGGTGGGTAAAGCTGAGGGTCTCAACCCCACTGCCTGGCTTCTCTAAGACAGCATCAGAGCATGACTTATTTCCAGAGGACCCTGTCTCTTGGCTTTCCTTTTCACTCCCAGTCTTTGGAAACCATTCCTTCCCCTTCCTTTCATTTTGCACATTAAGTCCTGAGAACACCAAAATGCTGGATTACCCAGACCCACTCAGATGACTTCTTGCTTCAGACACAGATTCCCTCCTTGTCAAACTCTGTGACATTAAAATTCCAAACCCTTGCCCTGCGGCCTCTAGTTTACTATAGTCAAGGGCCACCTCCATTGACCATTTTAGAACCATCTCGCCTGGGTTGGCAGGAGCCAGATCAAAACATTCTGGTCCATATCTATCCTGTCTCTTACTTCATACTTTTTAAAAAATTTTTTATTAACATATAATGTATTATTAGCCCCAGGGGTAAAGGTCTGTGAATTGCCAGGTTTATATACTTCACAGCACTCATCATAGCACATACCCTCCCCAATGTCCATAACCCCACCACCCTCTCCTTACCGTCTCTTGCTTCATACTTGCTTTTCCGGCCTGCTTCCATGTGAGCTGCCTATGAGAGCGATTGGATATTGATTTTCCATTTCCTCCCCTTGTCTTTCCATCCCGGGGGCAGCCCTTGCTCATGTCTCAGTCCAGAGAGTGGCAGAGGTTATGCAGGGAGGTGGTGAATTGCCCTGGCTCTCTGACTGCTCTGAGTTTCTCCAGTCTGCTCACCCACCCCGCAACTCCAGTAATCCCTGATTCTCTTCTGAAAGGAAATTGAAAGTGATTGAAAGAGAGCCCCAGGGAGCGAGAACTGTCATGGCCTGTTACAGTCTGCTGTCTGCTTTAAGCCACAGCCTTAGAGTGGGATTCAACTGTTTTCCTACTAGTAAGTGTGACTCTGAATGGAGGCGGAAGTGTTGGGAATGAAACTAGTGATGGAAACCGTTTGGGTAGATAATAATGTTCATATCTTTGCTTGATTTTTAAAAAGAATCTTCGGCTCTATTGGAATTTTGAATGGAAGCATCCTGTGCAGTTGGGATCTTGTTTTGGTCTTTGAAGTAAGATCTCTTCGTGATGCCCTCCCCAGTCCACCCCCTCAGTCCCCTGGCAATCCGCTGTGGTCAGGAGGAGCAGAGAACATGGGACTGATTTCTGTTCAGATTTCTTGTCTAGAAGACATACAGGTAAAATGGAATATGTTCTATTGCTAAGCAGTCAGATTTGTGTATTTTAAATTTACAAATTTTAATTTACTTGGCAGGCCTAGTCCTACCTTAACCCAGATAGGGTTAAGACAAAATGTTGCTATGAGAAGACTAAAGCCAGTACTCAGAAAACCCAGAGATGAGTTGTTATGCACAGAGAGTCTGCTCAGCACTCACCTTGGGAGACAAGTGGTAGCCGAGTGGCAGGCTCTGGGTCTAGCTTTGACACAGGACATGTGTTCCGTCAGACATTGGCCCAAAGAAAATATGTCTTGTAGGCCTTGAGAGAGTACTTGAGTATTCAAACAGCATCACTAGACAGTTCTGGGACGGCCTCTTGTAGGCGGGAACTGACACCAGACCCAAGCATGGCCCTTGTTTGAATCCAGCCTGGTGGAAAAAGTCAATAGCAGAGGCCAGAATGGGCCCCAGCCCCTTATGGCCTCTTCATAGGGCTGGACGCTGACCGCTCCCTGCCAGTCCCTTCTGCCCAGATATCCCAGTAGAGTGAGACTGGAGCTCTGTTCCAGCAGTGTAAAGGGTCAGTGTCTGGACAGGGAATGGCCGAGCTGTACTAGCACAGGGGGCCTGTTTTAGGTGTTTAACAGCATCCCCTGCTCTTTCCCCTCCCCCAAGAAATCATATGATGCTAAGAAAGACTTAAGATGGTGGATTTCCTTGTAAGAAATAAAAATCTGACAACAGAGACTTTCAGACCACATGGTTTTTGCACATATGGGAATGTACGTGCCTGGGTGTTTCCGCCTGCAGTGGGCTGTGTTGGCTGTGACAGGTGCACCTGACAGCTCTGTGATGGTTCCTGTCGTACCAGGTGGGTGATGAGTAGCCAGGAGCATATCTGAGGATAAAGAGGAGTGTTCAGCATAACAGTGTCTATATCACAAACATGTTTGGGGGTCTAGTAATGCCATTTTACATCTTCGTTTCATAAAGGAAAAGAAGACAAACTCAAATGTTTACTCTGCCTCTCCAATAATTTGTCAGTCCTTCAGAGACAGCCTGGCTGTCCCCTTCCACCTACTGGTGGAGAGAGGCTACTTTAATTAGGGTTATTGAGAGAGAGCAGAAGATACAATACAGTGACTCTGAACTCTGGGCTGAAAACAACACAAATAACATTAAAAACATCCTTGCATGTAATGACTCCTTCTCTCAATTCATGAGGACTCACACAGGTAAGGTAGGTTTCAAAGAGAATTCCAGGGAACCACTAACCCAAAGCAATAAGCTTTTAGGGTGAAGAGTAGATTCTGTCAGCAAATATTTAATTTGCAAATACCAGTATTCAACCTTCTCTGAATCCTTATGTACACTGAGGATAGCTTACCTTTAATTTTTATACTCTTCGTGTTTATGACAGAAATAAAACCCCTCCCCCTGATCACCAATCCCCCACGTGGTGTGACGGAAACACTGTCACGGAGCTGCCATTTGTACCTGTCAGAGCCAGCACAGTCCGCCACAGGCAGACGCAGCCTGTCACACACATTCTCACGAGAGCAAAAACTGTGCTCTTGCGCTGAAATGCTTTGATTTGAGCCAGCAAGAACTTACTTACTAATAAAGTTATAAGCCAGTGACAGGAAATTCTATGTGATTTTAGAGATGGATGCATTCTCCCTAAGACAACATGTAGCTTAGTGTTTCAGTTTCAGGATGACATTATACGTAAAGATGGACAGTTTTATTTTTAAAGCAGTTTGTACAAACCTTTCCATTCTGCTGGCCGAATGAGCTTCTTTAACGCCATATTCTTCTTGAAAGTGCATTCAACCTTTAAAGCTCCCAAGGTCATGTGTTAGTGGATTCATTTCCTGATACCAAGCCTCACTTTTGAGCTTCAAGCCTTGGGGAGCAGCTTACTCACATTGATGAGCATTTTGAATTTAGGCCAAAAAAAAAAAAAAAGCCCACAGATCTAAGCTCTTAACAACACATAACAGGCTACCTACATCCCAGGCACAAGTTTCTGAAAGAGCTGTGGCTAATCAGGTCGTAACTTTGTTCTCTCTTGCTCTTCACTCAAGGCATAATTCAATCCGAAGACAACTCAACCTGTCAAACCCGGACTTCAATATCCAGCAGCTTCAGAAACAGGAACAGTTGACTGGAATTGGTCGAATTAAACCAGAGTTATATAAGCAGAGGTCACTGGATACTGATGATGGGACAAGGGGTAACAGCAAAGCCTGTGGGAAACTGAATTTCATTTTAAAATATGACTGTGACTTAGAGCAGCTCATAGTGAAGATTCACAAAGCTGTCAATTTGCCTGCCAAGGACTTTTCCGGGACTTCAGATCCTTACGTCAAGATCTATTTGCTTCCCGATCGGAAAACCAAACACCAGACTAAAGTTCACAGGAAGACCCTGAACCCGGTGTTTGATGAAGTGTTTTTGTTTCCAGTTCCCTACAATGACCTTGCGGCCCGGAAGCTTCACTTCTCTGTGTATGACTTTGACAGGTTCTCTCGCCATGACCTAATCGGCCAAGTGGTGGTGGAGCACTTCTTAGACTTGGCCGATTTCCCCAGGGAGTGCATCCTTTGGAAGGATATCGAGTATGTCACCAATGTAAGTCCAGCATTTCTCCATTCTGGGGGCGGCTTCTCGGTCTGCATGCAAACAGATTATTTACACCTTATTTTATTGTGGGGACGAAGTATAAAATTCACGTCAGTGTCTGGATAGCTGTTGTTTCAGAACCTTCTTGTACCTTCCCAGAAACAGGTCTTTAACAATATTCATTTTAGAAGTTCCCAGAATTATTCATGAAAACAGCATGAAGCATAACATTCTCTCTTTTCTGCTTTCTAATTCTTAGTTCTTCCTTAATTGGCAGAAGATATTATCTGCCCTCCTTACCACATTTTCTGTAGAGCTTTCTTAGGTTATTTGTGCTAAATGGATCCTGGCATCCTATTAACTGTAATCTGCAGCTACAAGACCGCTGCCAGACTCTCTGAGAGCATTAAGTCCTTGAGCATGTTCCCAGGTCAGCTCAGCTGCATTTGCCATGATCAGATCTTCCTCTTTAATCCCAGAAGTGAGAATGGTTGCAGAGAGTTGGCACCACATTTTTAAGCAAAGAATCAAAATGGTAAGGAGTTCAGTCTGAAAAGATCTGCAGATACCAACAAAGCTCATCTATGGAAGGTCACATCCAATCTAGAGCTCAGGAGAGAGGGCAGAAGTGCTATGAAGTGACACCACATACCCATGTTTACATTTTAAATGAGATCGCAGTGGTGATATTATTACTCCATTTCCATCCTTCTCACCGTCCTGCACATGTGTATTGACACTCCTTATAGAGAAGAAAGAGGGACTCTCTTAGGTAACTGATATTTTACTTTTTAAATTTTATTTATTTGAGAGAGAGAGCACAAGCAGGGGAGCAGCAGAGGGGGAGGGAGAAAGACTCCCTGCTGAGCAGGGAGCCCCACTTGGGGCTCAACCCCAGGACCCTGAGATCATGACCTGAGTCTAAGGCAGATGCTTAACCATCTGAGCTGCATGGGTGCCCCAGTACCTCTGATATTTTAAAGCCACTTTTTTCTTTACTCCCATCCAGATTGCCTCAGGCAATTCTGCTCACATGTCTCCTAGAATACAAGTCCTTCTGAGGCCAGGATAATTTTCATTCTCTGCCTTGGCATCCAAAGGCACCAAGCACCACAATCCTTCCTCAGCTCAAATGATGATCCAGCTTGAGTTTGGAGTCCAATCAGGGAAAGGCTCCCTTTCTGTTCAGGAAGAGAACACACAAAATCTCTGCCCAATGGCCAAATCCTCACACTAGTACTTTCTCACGCTTGGCTGCCTTTGTGAACTGGGGTCTCACCTGCACTTTGGCTGTTCCAAGAGATGCCTCCTCTTCACGTGTCGCAAGATCTCGGTGCCAGGTGTGTCCTGCTACTCAGAAGCAAGGTGTAGCATGGAGTTTGGCTGGCCTTTATCATAACGATGAGGAAAGTAAAGAAAGAACTGGAAAAGGCACAGGGAACAGCAGTTGATGAAAGTAAGATGATTTGGGAGATTGGAGAAGGAACAGATCTCGTCAATCTTGTAAAGGTTGATATCTGTAAATCCAAAAATGGGTGCTGGGGAAAGCAAAGACTGTTTCCCAATCCCAGTTGCCAAAATCAGGAGGTAACAAAATGGGCAGACTGCGTATACTAAGATACGAGGGGCTCAAGAAGGAACTCGTTTACTGGAGCAGTTACCGAGTCCCCCGGGGAATGAGCTGAGACACTGCTGGCCAACAAGGATGCTCCTTGACCGGGGTTGGTCACACAATCTGGGAGGACATCCATTTATATTGTTTGACAAATGGATTCCGCAAAATCACTGGAATGATTATCACAAAGCTCAACAGGGATCCTGCTGTGAGCGGACTTCTAGAGACTTTATAGGCAGAGCAATACTGAGTGGTGGAAACATGTAGACCAGTTTCCCATGGGATGAGAGTATAGAATGGCAGCCTGCAGAGACCTCCAGGCATTGAGATGGTGGCCATTTTAACACTCTCCTGGGAGTAAAAGTGTCCGTGTCTGTTGTTGGAAAATCCTAGATTTCCACTGAGTTGAGGAGACTGTAAAATTATTTATGAGGAGGAAAACTGATACAGGTAAAGGCTTCAAAATTCTCACCCTTTCCTCAGGTGAACAACAAATATTTTGAGCATTGATCTAGGCCTTTGGGTTACCAGCAGGAGAGGGCAGGTTCTTAGAATGGAATTACAGATTATTTTATAATCTGCCATATAGTTGTTTTTTATTTTTTTATTGAAGTATAGTTGACATACAATGTTAAATTAGTTTCAGGCTTCTCATTCTTTTTTTTAATTTTATTTTTTATAAACATATATTTTTATCCCCAGGGGTGCAGGTCTATGAATCTCCAGGTTTACACACTTCACAGCACTCACCATAGCACATACCCTCCCCAATGTCCATAACCCCAAACCCCCTCCCCCCAGCAACCCTCAGTTTGTTTTGTGAGATTAAGAGTCACTTATGGTTTGTCTCCCTCCCAATCCCATCTTGTTTCATTTATTCTTCTCCTACCCCCTTAACCCCCCATGTTGCATCTCCACTTCCTCCCATATCAGGGAGATCATATGATAGTTGTCTTTCTCCGATTGACTTATTTCGCTAAGCATGATACCCTCTAGTTCCATCCATGTCGTCGCAAATGGCAAGATTTCATTTCTTTTGATGGCTGCATAGTATTCCATTGTGTATATATACCACTTCTTCTTTATCCATTCGTCTGTTGATGGACATCTAGGTTCTTTCCATAGTTTGGCTATTGTAGACATTGCTGCTATAAACATTTGGGTGCACGTGCCCCTTCGGATCACTACGTTTGTATCTTTAGGGTAAATACCCAGCAGTGCAATTGCTGGGTCATAGGGTAGTTCTATTTTCAACATTTTGAGGAACCTCCATGCTGTTTTCCAGAGTGGTTGCACCAGCTTGCATTCCCACCAACAGGCTTCTCATTCTTGTGAGAAAAAAACTCACAGTCTTGTGAGAAAAAATTTTAAAAACGACCGTGTAGTTTTTAAAATTCCATTTTCAAAATTATTATTTGAGGCTATTTTGATTGTGACTTTGTATAGAGACTGAGCATGAAGGTCTGAGGCTTGCCAAGTTTCTGTTTTTGTAATATAGCACATAGGGGGCACCTGGGTGGCATAGTACATTAAGGGTCTGACTCTTGGTTTCAGCTCAGGTCTTGGTCTCAGGGTCATGAGATCGAGCCCTGCTTCAGGCTCTGGTCTCAGCACACAGTCTGCTTTGGATTCTTTCTCCCTCTACCCCTCCCACTCAATGCTCTCTCTCTTTCTAAAGGAAATAAATAATCTTTATAATATAGCATGTATACAACACAGTGTATATAATGTACACATACAGATTAATAAGCGAATAATTAAATGAACAGGCATGAACCCATTGTTCATCTGAAGAATAGACCAGAACCAGTACTTCTGCTGACCCTTGGGATGATGTCTTCCTTCCTCTCCTTCCCTCTAGATCCACTCCTGCCAAGCGGAAAGCACTATTCTGAATTTTATATATATTGTGACATATTTATAAGACAATACAGTATTTGGTTTTGTCTGTTTCTGCTTTTCATAGCTCTTCTTTGACTTCTTTTTTTTCAGCCCACTTTGATTGTGACATTTAACAAGAGAGATCAGTAGATGGGTGGTTCATGTGTTTCCATTGCTATATAATATTCCGTTGATTGTAGATGACAAATTAGTGTTCTTGTATTGATGATATTTGGGTGCTTATTTGTTTTTTAATAATTATGAATAATACTCCAGAGAACATTTTTGTGCAAATCTCCTAGTTCACATATGCAATAATTCCTCTAGGATGTATCCCTGATAGAGGTAAGGTGGACACGTGTTGGACTTTTCTAGGCCTCGTGGACTTCCTTTCCACAGCGACTGTCCAATTTCATCCTCCCACTGGTGAGGTACGACAGTTCTTCATGCTCCACATTCTCACCAACCCTTATAGTTGCCACACTGTTTAGTATGTGTGTATGTGCCTGCCTGTGACATGATAAGTAATTCATATTTCCTTGGTTGTCAAGGTTGATCATCTTCGGATGGTCATCCACATTTCCTTTTTTGCACAATGCTTATTCAGCACCTTTTCCTCTTGTTTTTTTCTCCTTATTGATTCATATATGTTCTTTGTATAGGCTGGAGGCAAATCCTTTGTTGGTGATGTGTATTAACAGGCATCATCTCTCAATTTATGACCATATCTGTTGATCAATAGAGGGTCTTATGTTTAATGTAGTAAAACACATAACAATATTTTCCCTCATAAGTTAATGCTTTTGTGTCTTTTTAAAGAAATCCTTCCTTACCCTATGTCATAAAGATATTTCTCCTGTGTTTTCTGTTAGAAGTTTTAAAGTTTTGACTTTCCTAATTATGAATTTAGTTCACCCAGAATGAAAGTGTTTGTATAGTGGAGTGCAGGCACCCTGTGTTAGCTCAGGCTGCTGTAGCAGCGTATCATACACTGGGTGGCTGAAACAACATGAATTCCAGAGGTTGAAATATGATAAATTTATATTCAAATAACTATGAATTCTCATAGTTCCAGAGGTTGAAAAGTCCAAGACCAAGGTGTTGGCAGATTCAGTTCCTTGTGAGAGCTTTCTTCCTGCCTTGCAGACAGCTATGTTCTCAATGTGTCCTCATGTGGAGGAGAGAGAGAGAGAGAGCGCGCGCGCACTCTGGTCTCTTTCTCTTTTCTTTCTTTTTTTTTTTTTTTTAAGTTTTTATTTTTAAGCAATCTCTACCACCAACATGGGGCTTGAACTTACAACCCTGAGATCAGGAGTTGCACACTCTACCGACTGAGCCAGCCAGGCACCCCTTTCTCTTATGATGACACAAATCCCATCATGCAGTCCCCACCATCATGACCCCATCTAAACTTAAGTGCCTCCCAAAGGACCCATCTCCAAATACCCTCACATTAAGGGTTAGGGCTTCAATACATGAATTGGGGGTAAGGCAGTGGCACAAACATTCAGTC